GGCCACTTCAGTGAATCATCGAACCCAGGAGAGAGGTGGTGGGTGCTTTGGGAAGAACGGTTGGTGAAAGGGCTGGAGGGAGGCAGCATGTCTGGCCTTGAAGTAATAGGCCTTGGGTTACTGCTGGTAATCCTGTCTTCCTCTTGTGGGATTAGAGGAGGTCAGAAGATGTGGCCTCCTTGCCGTTTTTGCAATGACTGATTAGGTAACATGGATATACACTATAAAATCTGTGCAACAAGCCCTATCAATCATATTTCTGAGCTCAACATTTTTGTGTGAAGTGTGCTGGGGTAGTTGTGAGACCCAAGTCAAGGCAAGACGCATCTGAGCATCAATGGTTCATGCTGCAAATGGCAATGTGCCCTAAAACACCCTTTTCTGGTATTATCATCTTTTGAACCAACCACCAGAGAGCTCAAAATGTCCTTTTTCTTCATTAATAACATCTTCTATAACCTTTTCAAATCAACTAATTCTTCAACTGAGTAATATAAGACTTCTACCCAAAAATATTAAAGTCCAGGCATACTTCATTTTATTGCACTTTGCTCTATTGTACACGCTATTGCTGATAATGTGTTTTTACAAATTGAAGGTTTATGGCAACCCTGCTTTGAGCAAGTCTATCAGTGCCATTTTTCCAACAGCGTGCTCATTTCATGTCTCTGTGTTACATTTTGGTAATTTTCAGAGTATTTCAAACTTTTTCATGAGGCTATTGCATACTTAATAAACTACAGTAATAACGTAAACATAACTTGCACTAGGAAAACAAAAACACTTATGTGACTCACTTTACTGACATTTGCTTTACTGAGGTGGTCTGGAACCCATAATATCTCTGAGGTACGCCTAGAAATGAAAACACACAGATTTTTGCTTACCTGCCTGTCAGATAGCCAACTGCAGAAGCAGCATAACAAGCCTACAAAGAAAGAACACCAGGACTTAAACATATTGGGATCCTTATAGTCTGTGTATGAGAATAATGTACCACTGAGAATAAATCTAATGGAAATGAGGAATTGAAATGTTTTCCATTTTACTCAGTACTCACCTTCCCATAAATTTTAAATAATGGTTTAGGAACCTAATGTAATTTTTAGTTTTTCAAGAAATTTCTCCATTTCATCTATGTTGTTCATAATACCCTCTTAGAATTTTTTAAAGTATTTGAAGGATCTATAGCAATGCCTTTTTTTTTCCCCTAGTATTGGTGATTTGTGTTTTCTTTATTTGTCATCAGTATTAATAGGGATTTTTCAATTTTATTAATCTTTTCAAAGAACTAATTGACTCTATTGATTTTTGCTGTTCATTTGTTTTCTATTTCACTAACTTTTGCTCTTGTACACACACTACTTATCAACATGGTCACTTTCCAAATATCAGGTCATTATGTGAAAATGAGCATTACATAAAAATAGAGGATGACTACATCGTTACATAATTGTCAAATTACATCATTACGTAACTGCCAAACCACTGAGAATCATGGCCCAGCCAAATGGACATATAACCTTACCATCACAGCCAGCATTACTCTTGCCTCTCACTTTAGTGTTCATTACTGCCAAAGGATGTATGTCATTAATGAGTAAAATATTCAGTAGAATTTTTACTATTGTCATAAATGCAAAATGTTGGATAATGAGATAGTTGATAAATGAAGAGTAGGTATATTTACTATTTAACTCTCTCTATTTTTGGTTTAGTTTGCTTTTCTTTTTCTTGGAATGTAAGTTTACAGCCTTGGTTTTTCATCTTCTTTACTAATAGATTAATTCAGTGCTATTTCCTCTAAAAATTGCTTTAGCTATATCCCATATCATTATTATTCAATTCAAAACATTTTCTATTATAATTTTTTCCTCAATCCATTGGTTAATTAGGATCTGTAGCAATATCCCCATTTTCATTCCTGATATTGGTAATTTGTGTTTTTCTTTTATTCTTGACCAGTTTTGCTTGAGATTTATTGATTTTATTAATCTTTGCAAATATTTACTAAACACCAAAAAGTAGGTTGCTTAATTCTCAAACATTTGGAGATTTTCTGGTTATTTCTGTTACTTGTTTCTAATTGATTTCCACATGGTCAGTTTATATGTTGTTTTCAATCCTTAGAAATTTGTTGAAACTTCCTTAATGGCCAACAAATAGTTTTTAATTTTATGCTGTATAAATTCTCATAATCAGGAAGTGCAAGGAGGCACTAAATTATATAAATAAAAGATAACCTGCAAAAATGCTGAATGCCCTCTCAAACACATCCTTCCTCTCAGTCTGGGACATCATTTAGTCCCCAGGATTACTGCTTCTCATTTTTATAGAAATGATAATAAATTCAGTACTTTCTAACCTTCATTCAACTTTAAACACAGCATACTAAACTTAAATCTACCTTAAGGACACCAATATAAAAAAATTAAAATAAATTTTTATGAATCACAAATCTTAACTGACACCACTACCATCTGCCCAACTAAGAAGCTACCAAAAGGCTCTGATCTTGCTCTGTGGTGCTATTCTCTATTGGCCAGTTCCTGGCTCTCTCTCTCTCTCTTTTCCCTTTCGCACAGAAGGTCCAATTCACACAGGAGAATAAAAAACAACTCCTGAGATATGGAAACAAAATACCTGATGCAATATGAACACTTACTGAGACACCAAGAATCATATCCATTTGTTAAAACAGGGTAAGAAATGTTGCTATACAACTCAAAATATAAAACAAATAACAAAAGGTAAGGAACTCTGATATTAGATGTCAAAATATTGAAAAAGAATTGGTTTCATCATCATAATCTGTTTCTCTACCCAATTATCTCCACTCAGAGATAGATTTAATATGTATACCACTTAAGAGTGAAGACTCTGGAAGCCTATCAGCTTTGATTCAAATCTCAGTTTCCCCACTTTCTACTCTGATTTTGGCAAGTTACTTTCTGTAACTTAATTATCTTATCTGTAAGATGAACATAATTCATAGCATTACTATGAAGATGAAATTTATTAATACATGTAAAGCACTCAGAACAGTGCTCGGCACACAGTAAGCTGTCAAAGACCCTTACCTTCCTCACAGTCTGCCTACTTCCTGGCCCACTGGTCAATATACATATTGATTATTCTAAATATCTGATGAAAAACAGTCAAGTCACATCCAACTCTTTTTCTTCGGCATAAATATGCATTAGTCACCATGCCCTACTCTGTCTCCTGAATGGCTTCTGGATCCCTTCTCACATTCTCTCTTAACCATCACTGTCACTACCTAGTTCAGACATTCGTTAAGACTTCTGTTGAGTCCTGCAGAGTACAGTTGCCTGAGGGACACAGGTACTGGGATGTCCCACAGACACCTCAAATTCACTATATTTAAAACTGAACTCACTGCCTTTTCCCTCTAAAGTCAACTCTTCCCTCTGTCTTTCCAGTTCAATCAGTGGCACTGTTGTTCTTGTGGTTGTTAAGTGCCGTCGAGTCATTTCCAACTCATAGTGACCCCATGCACAGCAGAATGAAACA